AAGAAAGAGAGAGAGAGAGAGAGAGAGAGAGAGAGAGAGAGAGAGAGAGAGAGAGAGAGAGAGAGAGAGAGTGCTTTACTTCTTCTCAGTTTCTCTCTATCAAAGTCGTTACTTGATTTGCTCAAGTGTATTGCGAATACTAATGGAGTACATTTGACATTTGTGTTAAACATAACCCTGAAAGTCAGTAGTCACAGTGCATCCTTCTCCACCCTGCAGAAAATACAACAGGCCACAAACAGGATTAACCATTTCTTGATACAAATTTTTACTTCAGTTTTATATGACAAATACTTAATTATTTGTTAAACAACAAAAAAAAACAACAACAAAACCCCAACTGTCTTGGTTGTAAAATGAAAGGATATTTTAAATGTTCTGCCTTGCCAAGTGTTCTATGACTGCTACAATATACATTATACAAGTATTATAATATGTCATCAAGTTTTGATGCACTGTGCTGTCTAGGAGATGTATTTTCTGTTCCGGAGCTGGAATGCCACATATTGTCCGCCAGCTGTTCAGATGGACTAAGCCCAAAATTTGGAGAAATTAAAAAAAAAATTATTTAAGTTTCTTAATCTGTGATATTGGTTGTGTGGGGAATGTTTTGTTGAAATTGAAATTCTTTTGTAATTAACGTACAATTTTGAAAATAATGAAACATTAATTTTTTTCTTTCCTCTGAAAATATTTTCCTTTTGGGCTTAGAACAGTTGAACAGTTTTCTGACAATATTTAACATGAATTTTTAGTTGGTTCACATTGTTGAACATTTTCATTCAGTTTGCTCTAGCTTCAAGCATATATTTAAAAGCAAAGTGTGAACAATTTCCAGCATTCTCTTTGCTTTGGTGATTTCTTCACTTAAGTTTATGAATGAAAATGAATGTGTGATTTGTGCATTATTTTGCTTGGGCAGGAAAGAAACCTGCAGATCCACACGGCATGATTAATAATAATTGTATCATTGTTGAGATTTGAAGACATTTTATAACTCATCCTGATCAATACATCAAATATTGTAGGGAAGAGGGGAAAAAAACCCAATGCGCCTGCGAGCTGTTCAGATGTACTAAGCTCAGAATTTTGAACTGCAGTTTTTTTATTGTGGTATTGTTTGCCTGAGCTCGAGAACTGTTTAGTTGAAATTCTAATTCTAATGTTGAAAAGCAAGAAAAGATACATCTGTATTAGAATTATTATATAGAGGTACATTAATTAAGACTCTCTCCTGAAAAGTTTCTCTATCCCATAAGTCTAAGACCAGACTTGCACTCTTTGTTTAAGCTGACCAATAGTATAACTACTATAACTAAGAAGTTGTCTGACATTGACACAGCTTTGTATTCAGTTTGCATGAAGCAAGAAACTTTAACAAGGAAAATAAAAGAAAATAGGTGCCTGGATTTTACTGCTCATTTCAGGGAACATTTTCAAATTTATTGTATTTTGAATTCGAAGTGTAAAGGATTCAAGAAAATTTGTAATCACTGAACAAATACTGCATCACTGAAGATCCAGGTGTATCTGATATGTTATTGTTATGATGTGTTATTTTCTGTTTCAGAGAAAATATCTTATACTTGTATGTTACAGTCGTACATTCCATATATATCTGTACAGAGAGTCTGATCGAAAGGGACACAAGTTGTGTTTTTTTGGGGGTGACATTTTGTCCCCCTGAGGTTAGTTTCAGATTACAAGAAAGTATTGGATGTACATAGCTCCCGAGATTTATACCGTCCTTCAGAAATAAATCAGTTTTTTATCATTTCAAGAACATTTGTGTGGGTTTTTATTGTTTATTATTGTTGTTTTCCATAGTCACCAGCTATTATGATGTCGTGAAAATAAAACACATCAAACATAAAAAATAGTTAACTGGTGGACATATATGCTGTTGGAAAGAATGTTCACAGAAAAAAATGTGAGCGTGCCTGGTGAAAGGTACCAAAAGACGGCATTTGTTCGAACTGAGATATCAGGCTTCAAAGGTCAAAAATAGAATTTTTGACAAAAATTAAGTTCCATTAAAAATGGATTCTTAAGCCATTAATATATGGATATTTACAAGGACAAGGACTTGAGTTTCTTTTACTTTAAAATACATTTTTTAAGATGTTTTATAACACAAGGTATATTGCATAATCCCAAAAACTGTGAGAAAATTGGTTTTCCGAGTACACACTGCGGATGGTTTCTCTTGTCCACTCACAAAGTCGACCCAATCACATTGCATACCAAAATTTAGGTCATTCTCTCCCCTCTCTAATGGCGAGTAGTGCACATGAATATCTAGAACGTGTAAACAAAGCGAAGCTTTGCACGTCCAAACCCTTTCGGTTTTTTTAGAGCTAATTGTATCGCATATATTTCTTCCCCGCGCAAATATAGATCTAGTTTCTTGAAAATTCTTGCTCAAGGTGGTGGCGAAATTGTTTTGAAGACATAGTATAAACATTTTGAAACTATTCTTTTATCTTAGCTGCCTTTTAAAGTTGGTTTGTGAGTAGCGAATGTGTTGTCAGGTCGTCTCGAAGCGTAGATCTATCTATTTGAAGCAGAAACAAAGTGGAAACTTTAAAGCTGTTTTTCTCAAAACTTTGTTTCCGTACCCTGCCTTAGAAAACCACCCATATCTAAAAAAGTACTGAAGATATCATCTTAAAAATTCAAAAAGCATATTGTTCAGAAATGATCCCTTTACATGAAATTGCAAAACAACGCGATTCTTCAAAATGCGTCATTTGGTACCTTTCACCAAGCACACTCACAAATAGTTAACGTATGACATAAGATGTTGGGAAAATACTTACACATTATGTGATACGTAGGAGAAAAAAGTCACAGCAAAGAGAAGCATAGCCACAAAACAAATGTCAAATATTGGGGGGAAAAGTGAACAAGACTGACAGACTGAAACTGAAAAAGAAGAGTATAAAAACTGGGTAATGGGCATACGGAAATCAACAAGATTTAAGGAAAAACTGCCAGCCAAGAAAAGTTCTGACAACTTGTCTTGGCAAGAAAGAAAAAATGCAAAAAAAGATGTGTGTGACAGAATATACTGTATATTATATATATTTAAGTAAAAAGACTATCTGACATAAAGCACATCTATCTCTTGAAATGTTTCCAAAAAATATACATAATCAAATCATTACAAAAGAAAACGTACAGGTTCAAGAATATGAACAGTTTCGCGACAAATGCCATTTTCAAAGTTTGGCCAAAACTAGCACCTTCGTAATTTAGAAAGGAGAAGCACACACATTCCAGAGTCAAACTGAGACATATCCTCTAAGGGCTAATCAAGTTCTTTCCTCTTGTTATATGACTTCGCTTGAGGTTTATGAAAGTTTGTCAGCAGTTCTCTCCCTAGTTTATTACTGTAATGTGGATATGTCATGTTTTGTCAAAGATGTGTGGAGACTTTATTAATTTAAATCATAAAAATTCAGCATAGATTTCATCAATTAGCAAATATCAACAAAGCCTTTCATTATGATTACTCTTAAACCAAAGTTGCTCAAGATTATTCAGTAAATGGGCGAAGAACAGAAATATTCATTTTTCTCAAGGCCAGAAAAACGGATCTGTCGTATTTGTTGCAAAATTGTTCAGATATTCATTGACCATTTCCAGTTGAGACAAGAATAGCATTGACTATCTCTACAGCACTCATATAAATCAATAATGAAACAAACAAATAGCACCAGTAATGTCCTGTATATTCAGACATCCTCATAAAACTGCAACAACATTATAAGAGTACACTGCACTCTGTTTTTGGAATACCACATGAAAAACCAAAACAAAACTCAGGTCTCTATCATAATACCTGTAGGCATTTACAATCAGTACAAATAGCCTACAAGGCAAGTTAACTACAGCCTTTCCCAATGAACATTGAGTGATGCTGCATACAACAGCCCCATCCCTATCCCTTTCCCTTCCCCTAGAGGATTTTCTCAGGTTTACATTCTTCTTTTCCCATCATCACAGTCTGTATAGCGTATTGGCTTCCAAGCCACATCCACAAGTGGAAATGAAGTCTTTCAATGCTCAAAATATGGCAAACTTTTCTCAACAAGAATCGGTCTCATTGGCCCCCACCCCCTTTCCCCCCAGCTAGAGCTCGCTCGATCTCTCCCGTTGTATCCAAATTCAGGCCGTTTCTTGCCCCGTTAAACCAAAGCACAGGTAATTGAGTTTACATAGAACAAAAAGGGGATACCGGAAAGGTCCCGCTGTAGGGATGGTCCCGCTGCAGCGGGTGCCGCAGTAGTTATGTTCTACTGTATACTGTATACGTACAGTTTAACCTGCTGTAACAGTCTGAACTGTCTGAGACAATCACCTGTGCAAATGGCCACATCCCACTTCTTCCATGATTTTTTCTACATTTAAATGGAACTGTTCAAGATGTCAATCTGTTTAAGACAACCACTTTTCTCCTTGACCATGGATGGCTGTTTTGGACAATTTTGACAGTTTATTATATAAAATATATATATGTGTGGCATCCTGGTGAAGTCAGGCACGTGTCAAAATATTTTATGCTTCCTCAGAAACACATTCCTGTGTGCATTTTATGGAAAAATGTTGATCAAAGGCACAAAATATGTAAATTTGCAGTTTCCATGGGCACTTTGGAAGTCACCAAACTTTGGTTGCCATTTACTCACAAAATTTACCCCTGGCAACAGGAGGGTTTTTCAACAAAAGCAAGGTAGATATCCAGGCTTTAAGATTATACCAAATAACTCCATCTGCCTAAATATTGACCGGCGCCTGATTCCACCGCATCGCGACACATAATCCTGTTAGAAAACTTAAAAGCACCAATAGCAAACAAGCTGCTACTTCCAAAAAATAAGGCATTAATCAACGATAATCTTCTCATTTCCTCCCTGTAACCATCACGGACTAAAGGCGTATCGGATCATTTCTCGCTGTGCTGGGCTAACATCTGGGTGCCATAAGTCTATCATGAACACGGCCCGGAATCCGCTCTCCACTCCACCATGATGTCGGACTGAGTGAGGATAAGCATCGTCGAAACAGATGATCTCCCCTTCCTCCCAGCAACGGTTCCGATCTCCTACCGTGAGAGTGCACAGGTCTTGAGGCACTTGTAAACCTGCACAAAAGGACCCAGTAGATCAAGGATTTGAATGTAATGTTAAGGTTTTACACTTCCACTCACCCAATTCAGATTATCCAGAAGGTGAATTGCTTTGAGCCCACCTGTCAGGGTAAACCTGGACATATTCTATTATAAATGTTTAAGATTAGTTCCCTTTGCCATTTCTGAACCTAAAACCAGCTGTAAAAATATATAATTTAAAGTCATGGTTTTCACTGAGGAAGACAATGAAAGTATAAAACATTTATACATGTAAAAGAATCAATGAGGAAACAATAGGAGCAAAAGGGTGGCCATAGTATGTACCTGAGCATGAATAATAAAGGTCTTGAATCAACATTCGTCCAGGAAAATGTACCTAAAAATACATGCATTTAAAACCCCCCCCCCATATACTGAAATATCTTCAAAAACTAACAATGCTATTTCATTACTAACATAATTTATTGCAAAATTCAATAATTACTAATACTAATAGTCCCTTCCAGCCTGCTCATCTATGGGTGGGGGTTCGGTGGTGGTGAATTATGCCCATTACACACTGGCAGAATGAGCAGCCCCTTCAATGATGAAATGATACTAATAGAGGCTCTGAGTGCTTTACAACAACCCCCCCCCCCCCAAGCAACTTATAAACAATACAATGTGTTCTGACTTAGAATCTGAATGAATCTGTTATCATAAATAATGTAAATAACTTGATAAGAGCTAAAGTCATTCAGTATTGTTTTTACTAAAAGTAAGGAACTGCACCCATATCGGTGTACTCCCTATTTTTAAAAATACTTTTTAAAAACCTTATTATCTCTTCTTTTCAGCTCAATTTTATACCTTCTTCTTTCTTCTATCTAGCTAATGGGCAATGTTATCTGTCTTTGAAAAGGTAAATTTGGGTGGAGAAGTAGGACGATATTTCTCTCTGACATAACCAGACCAAACTAGAACTCACCAAGGTGACATCTGATTCGACAGTTGGTTGATCCACAGTGCGTTGCGATCGACGTCCCAGGGTGCACTATGGAGAACGAAGCATCGCCAAAGTAACAGTCAGACAGGAAGTCAGGGATCTGTTTCAGAAGATCCATGGTGAGGGGGCAGAACTCCGCAGCCTTGGTTGTCCTCCCCTGATCAACTAACTGAGCTATCTCCCATGTACCGTCTACAGTTGCATTAGTTTTCCACAACCTCTGAGTTTCAGGAAAGGGACTTTTGTACAAATGTACAAATTCTAACATGATATGTTTCCAAGCTTGCCGCAGTGCTATCAAGGCACTGAACTCTGTGTGGGGCCAGAACTCTTGTTCCCTCAGTCCTGACAACTGCAACACGAGTGGTCTCAAACTGGACTCAACTGGCATTGACTTCAAAACAGAACTTGAGTCAGATGCTTCCGACACCGAGTCAGGTATAAGACTCTTGACACTTTCCTTCCCCTCCCGATTCTTAGCATAATCTAAAGACTTTTTGATATCAGCGACTAAAGAATGATATTCATTCTGAGCTGACTGGTCCCCTTGCACTTCGGTGTTAGGAGATTTGGTGATGTAATAGCTGAGCCGTGTCAGTGCCGTGGACAAAATCTCTAAGTTCCTGGAACACCTGATGCAGTTGGGGGATGTACACAAGGAGGTCGAGTCCTGTCTGTTGTCTTTTACACGGAAACTATGAGATTCAAATGTGTTTTCCTCCTCTTTTGAGTCTTTGCACCAGGTAAAGTAGCGCCAGAGGTTACCGAAACCTGCATACCAGTAGGTCAAAATGCCGGACTGACGTCTGCCCTTCAGCCACATTTCTAGGACCACCACACACAGCATCAGAACCGCTGCCATGGTAAACATGAAAAGAATTGATGTATCCATCACGCTAGCCTGGTCCTCAGTCTTGGAAAAGACTCAAGCAGTCTGTACAAAGAACAGGAGCAGAATCTATTCCATCCCGCAACCACAAGTCTATTTCTTCTGAAAAACAATGCAAACAAAGGTACAAATGCTTTTAGTAAGAACAAGTTTTATGACATTTGCAATATACATAGAGTCATATATAAGTGTTGAAAATCAGAGGTGTTATTAGAGAGTAACATAGTAGACGTTTTTATCGTGCAACAAAGAAGAGCCATTATCATTCCACCAGAGAGTTTTACAGTAATACAAGAGAGCTGTCGGTTGGCCCGCATGGGTATACCTGGGTGGACCAGCTGATCGTGGGGAAAAGTGCGGTAAACAAAACAAACTGAGTCCATTGTTCATGGCATTTTTGTTGATCACTGACTGGCATGGATCCACTTGGCATGAAGAGTCAATCGGGTTCTGCTATAAACTGCACCAATTCCAGAAACAAAAATCCAAATCTGAGTTTATTTCGATTCCCAAAGGATGACGAAAGGTAGATTGCCTACTTAAGTAAGAATATATTTTGATGAATGGAAAACAAATAGGAGCAAAATAATGACAATGTTATTGTGGTCCTACCAGACTGACATGTACAAACTTCAACGTTGCTATATATATCAGCTATCAATTGCTTCTATTCCGACCTAAATGCCCAAATTGAGCTTGCATTCTACTGGTGAAAGATATGTTGCCTGAGACAAGTTGTCTTAATTATACAATGTTCCATCGGTCGGTTTGGTACTTTCTTCGTCTGAGGGGGGGGGGGGGGGTGTCGGGGATCCTATGGAACTCTTCATGAGGTAGATCTATCATTAATTAATGTGCTTTTCGATAATCTGAAATTATGAGTAAACAACAAAATTTTCAAGGGCTTTAAAGACTTTATAAAAAAAAAATTGTATTTTTTATAAGTGTAAATCTGTAATGAAAGAGGGAGGACACATGCAGGAAGCCATGCGAATTCCCTCAAATGACTCTTCGTAATGAATCATTTGTAAGATTGAGAACCCTCTAGGAAAGGCACCCGTATCTGAATGTGTGTGTATGCATGTGTGTGTGTGTGTGTGAGAGAGGAGAGAGAGAGAGAGAGAGAGAGAGAGAGAGAGAGAGAGAGAGAGAGAGAGGACACTGGACAACGAGTAGTTTTGCTGAAAATTAAAACAATTATGCCTTTAATTATGGTGTTAGAATCATGTCTGTCCTGTTTTTTTTTAGGTCAAAAGCAACTTGTGACAGCTTACGGCCGAGGGAGGCAGGGGACTTGCCTAAAATGATAGAATTCACAGAACTGAAGTAACCCAGTGAACTAACTACAGATGGCACTACATTTTCTCATGACATGACCGCATCACTGTCACAGCGATTACCGCGCGTAAAGTTTTCGCGCCCCGCGCCAGGCGATACACGAAACAATGCACTGTTGTTAAGGAGCAATGCCACAAATGACACCTCTCTGTTACTGTAAACCCTCTCTGATTCCATCACAGATGCTGGTGAGGTTTCTGACTATACACGTACAGACTACTTGTATATATTGCTAAATGTGCAACAATCATTATGTCGCGTCTCCACAGCTTTCTATCTCCCCTATCGGCATGTTTGGCCATTATAGTTGCAACCGAGTTCAATGCCAGATGCGCCTTCTTGTACTTCTGGTTGTGATAGAAGGTTGTTGGCACTTCTGGTGCTGTCACCTCTGACACAGAAATTCCTCCTCCTTCTGTCACTGGAGCTTTCACCGAGTAGTGGCAGTGTGTCCACCTATAATGGTAAATTGTATTCAATTCAGAAGAAATGCTGACCCTGATGAGTGTTTGAGTAAGGCCATAACGTGCTGAGAGGGGAGATGGAAAGCTGTGGAGAAGTGACATGTGCAACTATATATATATATATATATGTGATGCTGGAGAATAGTCATCGATCTATTGACCAGCGCGATGCCGGAGAATAGCAACTTGTCTTACTTGTCTGACACATGATACAGGTGGTCGTCAGAGCATCTGTGACTCAACATAAAATATCTAATTGTCTATTATTCGTTTTGCTGAAGTAGATCTAAATCTAGATCTACACATGTTGAAATGTACAGTATTGGAGTTGAAGCTGAAAAGCCTCCATCCATCCTCCTCCAGTCTTCAGACTTCAGAATCTAAAATTTCTCTGTATTCAGTTCAGTTAAAACCATCACTCCAGCTCTATTATTTTGAATGGAACCATAATAATAAAGTTCATCAAAGGCACACACTTACGCTTTATGTGATGCTGTTCAAATTTCTCTTGAAAAATAGCAACAAATATGTAGATAAGCCACCAGCTCAGTGTCATTCCCAGTAAGTTTCGTGTTTGTTTACTGTTTAGGTTTTGGCAACCATTTTTATTATTCGTTTCACACAAAATCCCCTCCACAATTTGACGGTTTGGTCAAAAACTTGTATTGTCCCTTTTTGTTTTGTCCACTGCTGCTGTGCCCCTGGAACTGAAAAATGGCAGCGGCCGAAGACTGTGACAGGACCTCGTATGTCAAGTTGTTTACATAAATGCTCGGAATTCTACAGTGGTATAGCGAAGCTAGACCGCGCCTGATATGTTTACTGGAAGTCTTTGATGGATTTTCAATAGATCTTTCGTTGTTGTGTTTTAAGCCTTGAAAATGGGCAACAACAAGTCGGCGCTAAGGAAGTCCCAGTCAGTTCCTGATACACAGGTAAACTACAGATTCTCTAGAGACGTTTCAGATCTCTAGATCTAGACTCTAGATCTAGATATATAGATTCTAGATCTAGATTCTAGATCTACCGAAACTGTCCTTTCTTGTAAATCACTTGGATGCTACATATCTGGTTCTGAAATTGGGCAGCGGTGTAAGTTAATACACACAAACGCCAGGAAGATTGAAGAAGGCCGAAAAAATGAAAAAATGTTATTCTCGGACTCGGGTCCGGAAAAAAGGAAGTGTCTTCGTTCTATAGATCTAACGTTCAGTGCTTCCAATTTTCCGCCATTTTTTAGTTTCCCCCACACCTTATCTGCCGATCCAATGCCCGCCGCCTCATTGATATGCCCCCCCCCCCACGTTTCCCACTTTCTTTGTTGTAGAAAAAGGTAAAATTGAAGATTAGCAAACCACCTGGCACCTGCATATTATGAGCTGTGTAAAAAAAAAAAAGACCGATTCGTTCAAATACACAAGCCTGTGTCATATCGATTATTTACCAAGAAAAAGTTGTGTTGCTGTGTAGAGCCAAGCATACGGCAACTTTTGATTCCATAGACCAGCGCACAATTCATTACGTAGATCTACATCAAGACTAGCTTATTATTGTAATAATGATCAGTTGCCGGGGGGAAAAAGACTGACGCGTATGCGACGTTCAAAGCCCGGACCGATAGTGCCCCCCCACCACCCTCCCCGACTCGCACACAGCCACACGTGTGCAGGCCGCCCATCCGACCCCAACACACGTTAACGAGCCATCTTTAATTGCTTCTGATGACCTCTTGACAAATAAATATTTATTAGAAGCGCTTTAACTTTTCAGGCCGGCCTCAAATTCATCATAAGATTAAAACTCGGCTCCTGCACAAAACGCCTTTTTCCCCGAAGTGATCCCGGTCTCTACCCAGCCTGAGGCGAGTCACAAGTGAGGCAGGACAGGAAGCTGGATTCACGAGTCACAGGAAGTCGGAAGTGATGCCATGCTGGACAAGAATCAGAGTCCGAATATCATTTTTTTATGTCCGGACTCGAGTCCGAATAATCACTTCGATTGAAGAATACCGGACCACTCGTACATTATTGCGGGAGAAAGTGGGGTAGGTGGGGTGGGTGGTTGGGGTGGAGGAAGGGGGGAGGGGGGATTCAGGGGGGTTTCCCCCCTGACAAAATTTTAATGAACAGATCTACCGGTCCGAGATTCTCCATTGAGAGATATTAAAAACGGGGAAATTATGAATTCCTAAGGTTGAGACATAGGCAAAGTCAGTCCGCTGGTCCGGTATTCTTCAATCTTACCCAAACGCCCACCACACAGGCTTAATAAATGGCCTTGCCTGGGGTGAGAATAAAAATACGATCGACCTCTCACCCCAGGTGAGACTTGCTAGTTGCTAGTGTTGGCTATTCTCACCCAGCAGTGTGAAACAAGACCTGTTTTTCCTAATTTCGGAATACTGTCTATCGGTGTGGATGATCAAATTGACAAAAGTAAAAGCAAAGAAAAAATGACGTTATAATAACACAAAAGTTTAAGCTAATTTGGTCGTCTACGAAGATAGAGATGCTATGGCTATTTCACTTTTCGAATCGAGCCGAACTACGGGGGTCGCCATTTTGTTTTGCCCGGAAGTTCTCGCAAGATCTACTCCTCCCCTCTTTCTCTCTTTCTGAATGCTGTCTATCGGTGTGGACGATCAAATTGACAAAAACAAAGTTAAAAAATGATGTTAAAACACAAAAGTAAATTAATTTGGTCGTCTACAAAGATGCTACGGCTACTTTTTGTATCGAGCCGAACTACGCGGGTCGCCATTTTGTTTTGCCCGGAAGTTCTTGCGCTACTCCTGTCTCTTTCTTTCTCTCTCTCTCTCTCTCTCTCCTTCTCTCTCTCTCTCTCTCCTTCTCTCTCTCTCTCTCTCTCTCTCTCTCTCTCTCTCTCTCTCTCTCTCTCTCTCTCTTTCTCTTTCTCTCTCTCTCTCTCCACCTCCCACAGACAAAATTGGAATGTTTTTAGGCTAACAGTAGAAACAAAAGAGCGCTGGAACATTTTTTCACGCGCAGAATTCTACAATTCTGTTATATTATCACAGTGTAGAACACTGCACACTACACTGGTTGGCCTAGGCTATAACGGTGAACGCACTCCGGATGAGAATAGCCAAAAGGCTCGCCTGCGCCCGGGGTGAGAATAGAGGTGGCCTTGCCTTATACGCGTGCACACACCAAACTAGCAAACAATGACAGTCGCAGCTCTTTTCTTGTTGTTGTTGTTGCTGCCCCTAGATCTAGTGGATTTTTGTTGCTGTTGTATATGTGCTGATGGTTTTTGTAATATATTTGTTGCCTCAATATTTGGGATGTCTATATAATGTGTACAGAAAGTCAACTCTACTGTGCAGAAAGTCTTTGTGGATTTTTGCCTCGCACTTTAAGTTCGCCTTCTCAACTGTTTCAGATGATTTCTTCCTAAAGGCAGCAAAATTTTCATCTTTAAATTTAGAAAAAGCTTTGTCAAATTTGTTGTAAGATTTGAATGCCTGCTCTAGAAAGCCTTCTTTGTCAGACAGAGATAGATTTATACTAGGACCACCACGCTGGGAAGCGATGCGGAAATGGTAGATCTAGATGATGTTAGATTCTAATCATCAACGTAAAAGAGCTCCCCAGATCCTCTCTCCCTCATTTTCCGAGTGTGCACACACACGATGACATGCACTCACATCATACGTGCACACATGCACACACTCACACACACACACACACACACACACACACACACACACACACACACACACACACACACACACACACACACACACACACACACACACACACACACACACACTCCCACACACACGCTCACACACACACACTCTCTTTCTATCTTTCTTTCTCTCTGTCTCTCTCTCTTTCTCTCTGTCTCTCTCTCTCTCTCTCTCTCTCTCTCTCTCTCTCTCTCTCTCTCTCTCTCTCGCTCATACACACATACACACTTAGCTCCGAAAATACGACAGTTGAGCAGTCTAGTCTAAGTCTAAATTTCTGCTAGTTTGTATCTGACCGGTTAAGGAATTTCGACCCCAGATGAAAATTATAGCAGGGCCTACAAACAAGATTAAACTGAAATGTGATAGTATGTTTTAAAGGTGATTCTGCTTACAGAGTGTCTACGTACACTGTAACTGGGCACATAGTCTCAGTATCTACGTACAGGTAACCGGGTGCTTAGTTTGGGGGGCCCCTTGAGCTAGGTGCACGGTAAATACTTCGCTCTCTTCATGACCTTGACTTTTTTCCTTTTCCCCCCGCTTTCTTGTTGTATTTATTTGTATCCAGGTTCACGTAAAACTTTGAACCCAAATAATGGAACACACTGGTCTTGTTTCCTCATAGACAACTGTGAACCCAAATAATGCGACACATTCAAGGCACCCCCCAAAACCCCCCCCCCCCCCCCCAAAAACAACACGCGCCAAAGTTGTTCATATATACATCTTTTTTTTCTTATTCCTTTATCCTCAATGAGTATGTATCACGGCACGCACATTAAGCCCAAGTGTAAAAAAAATACCCCCACCCCCTCCCCCCGCGGTCGTCCCTCACTGGTTAAGTCCCGAAAACCACCTCGACCAACACGACCAGTGTGAATGAACTTTGTTGACCTCGACAACCGACAGTCCCTGGCACACGCGCTACTCACTCGTTGGAGGTCATGTCACGTGATGCGAAGGCGAGCGTTTGAAAGTTTCTCTCACAGGTCTTGATGATGGGCCCTAGTAACCAGAACTTGGACGAAGCTTTCTTTTAAAGCAACGGAAGAACAATGAATAGATTATTTTTAGGCCTATGTCATAGTTGTTACAGTCATCTGGCCATTATTGGAGAACTCTGGGAAACAAACAGCGAAAGAAGTCAAGGTCATGAAGAGTGCAAAGCATTTACCGTGCTCCTAGCTCAAGGGGCCCCCGAAACTAAGCACCCGGTTACCGTGTACGTAGATACTGTGAACTCGTAGACGCTTACATTTCCACGACCATCGCTCTCGTCTTTCAGTTTTGGACTCGAACTTCCTAGACAGGCTGATGACCATACTCGTGGACTGTCTAATCCCTTTTGCATAATATGGTCATCTGTTGGCAGTGAACCTCCCTTTCATTAAAAAAAAATTTAGTTAGTGTGGTCACAACACAACGATTTATGATGCACCATGACGTAGGCGGGGAACTCTGTTAGAGATGGAAAGCAATACTTTTTTGGTGGGG